GCAGATATACAAGGTTAAATATCGGATGGTTTCCCCTAGATGATAAACTCAAAGTATAAAAAGCAAAATAAAAGATAGGTATTAGGAAGAAGGGAGTTAGAACTTTCTCAAAGGGGAATGGGATCAAGAGATAAGAGGGGAAGGAAGGGGAAAGGGGATGAACAATGGAATTAAGATGTTTTGTCCAAGTACCAACCCCACACAAGGAATGGAAACATTATGTACTGAAAAGAGTGAAGGAGATCAAGAGATTGGGGAGCGGTGGCAAAAGAAAGGAATTAATATGTGTTATGTACACATACCAATTCCCCACAAGGAATGGAAACATTATGTACTAGAAACATGTACTAATAAAAAACAAAAGAAAGATGGAACTGATGCGTGGCCCTTAGGGGAAAGCTTTACATTGCATGTGAAATAAACCATAAATATGCCATCAAAAAATAAATTAATACATGAGCTAAGGAACGAACCATCCAGGAAATGCTGCCTAAGTCTCGAGGTTCCCCCCCAGAGTATGGCTCCTCAGGGGTGGCATTCTCACAGGACAGGCAGGGCTGGTGTGAGAGCCTGTAGCAGCAGGGTGACCAGGGCACCATGATGGATGGTTTCCCTTTGTTTTGTCACCTCCGCCTCTCAACATTAGCTCCAGATAACACAGTGCTTTGAAACACTGACCCAGTGCAAACGGTGCTCCCGGAGGTCCCTGTGCAAGCCTGGCTACGCCTCCCTGCAAGTGGCACTTCTCAGCTTTAGGTACCGAGTGAGCTGTGCTCTGCTGCTCAGCCCAGGGACAGGACGGGCACCACAGGTGCTCCAACCCCCCCTGCCCATGTGCTTGTTCCTGGACACACCTAGCATGCCAGGCCCATGCTAGATGCCACAGATACAGGCATGAGATGAGTTGCTGCCCTTGGGACAGTCACAGGAGCCAAGAGAGCCAGATGAGCAAACAGGATGACAGCCCTTTGGGCTTGGGTCCCTGAGAGACTGGACTGCCTGGAGGAGATCCCCTACCAGTAACAATAGCCACCACTGGGCTGGAACACAGACAATCAGGGCTTTCATACAGTTTTGTTTTACCCTCACACTTATAGGAGGTTATCTCCATCTCACAGATGGGGCCCAGAGACTCAGTTACTTGTCAAGGTTACAGAGCTTGGATTCCCACAGCAGCCTGGGGTCTCCACAGTAAGTGGGAGGGTGTGTGTTGGCACGGGGGAGGTAGGAGGTTACCACTGGTAGAGGCAAGCCTGTGCTGCACTTGGGGACCAGGGGCTGAGGGGTACTCCCTGGTGGGCCCTGAGGCTGACACAAAGGGGCCAGATGGGCTGTGCCTTCCTCATGGAACAGCTGATGTGAGCAAATGCATGCACAGGCAGGTCTGAAGGGAAGCTTCCCCAGGCCTCCTGCGCTGGCCCTCCCTGGCCCCAGGCCTGTGCCTGGAGCACAATTAGCAAGGGCATCCTGTCTTGTGAGTATGAGGGATATGGAGGTCCTGACCGGAGCCCAGGATCCAGGACAAGGTGTATACCCAGGTGTCACAAACATGACCTGGCGACCTTCCACTGTGATAGTATAGAGGCACCAGGCCAAGGACCCCTGTTCCTGAAGCCCAAGGCTCTCCCAGAGCAATTTAGCAGAGAAGCAGTTGAGGAGGACAGCAGAGCTTGTCCTCAACCGGAGGAGGAAGAGTGAGCTGGGCCTGGCAGCTGGGACTGAGCAGTGTTCCAAGGGCTTTGGAGATGGAATGCCCATCACGATAAGACTGCCCTTAAAACTGGAAGATGATCTTGGATATCTGGGTGGGCCCAATGCAACAACATGAGCCCTTAAAATGGGGAGGGCAGGAGAGAGACGCAGCAGAGTCCATAGAAAGTCCCTGTGTGAAGGAAGACTCAACAAGCCAGGAAATGGGGTGAGGAGGAAGCCAGCCAGCAGCAAGGAAACAGAGACCTCAGTCCTCCAAGCCCATGGGACCGAAGTCAGGCAACACAGAACTCAGAAGCAGAGTCACCATCAGGGCACCAACAACTAGATTTCGGCCTCATGAGACTCAGGCAGAGGGCAGCTGGCCTGGACTTGCCACTCTTGGAAATGCAGACGACAACCAGTGGGTGCCATTTTAAACTCAGTGTGTGGCAATCTGTTAGAGCTGTCACTGGAAAGGACTTGTACGTAAGAAATCCAAGAAAGGTTCCCCTGACCAAGGAGTGGATGGCACAGACCCTGGGATGTGGCGGTATGAGGACAGTCTTGTGTGGGAATGAATTCATTCACTCACAAATTCAGCCAACATTCCTAGAAAGAACACTGGCCGTGACAGAAGCACGAGCAGGGTGCCTAGGGACACTCAGTCAAACAGACCAACCCGGTCAGATGAGTCCTGTGACAGGAACAAAGCCCCATGCTGTGGGAGGCCAAGGAAGGCCACCTGTCCACCACGGACAGCTATGCAGGGTAGACCATTCCCAAATAGGGGGGTCCATTCAAGGGAAGGGCAGCCAACTGCACATTGGCCCAGCTGGCCAGCAGTGGGCCTGAGTGAGTTCAGGAGGGCCTCAGGTCCGACAGGGAGGTTAGGACTGAAGATGCCAACCAGAGATGCTGGCGAAGAAATGCACCTCAGAACAGTGACCTCGGATGATGTCAGCCCCTGTCCTCTGGGCCCACACTCCCCAAATCCCATGTACCCCAACTTGGGGAAGGCAGGCCTGCACTAGTGGCTGTAGTGCTGCAGCACCACACCCCACACCCCTTTGCAAATGGACGAATTTACACTTTGGTTTGTGTGCCTGCCTCAAGGACGGCTATGCCATCCAGCACCTGGCACACAGGAAACATTACCTTTATTTAGCTTTAAAGGTAAATACAGACAAGAGCAAGTCCCCGAGACTGGTCACATTAGGGAAAATAGCAGAGGAAGTGAGTCCAATGTACACAGCAGAGGGTCCAGGAATGCTAGCTGTGGACAGACGTCAGACAGCATCCCTCTCCCTGGAGCTGTGGCACACACTTGGAAGCTGGCTCTGACCTCCCTCAGGAGCTGAGCAGCAGGGGCACACTACACCATGACAGGACACCTGAAGACCTCCTTCTTGGAAGGAGGCAGACATGCATTTGTCCTGAAGGAAGAACTCTAGTGATGGGGAAACAGGTTCCCAAACTCCTGTCTTTGCCACAAAGGTGGCACAGAGACCCTGAAGTTATGTTGTCCTGGACACTGGAGAGGACTTTCAACTGTTCTAACAGGGTCCAGAGGACCCAGCTTGGCCACCACCTCCCTGAGGGGCCACTCTACTCTCCCCTGTGTGGTAATATTAACCACTTGCATATCTCCAAATGCAAAGTTCATCTACGTCTCAAAACAAGTCTACACATTTCTATAAGTCCATTTCACAGCTGAAGAGGAAACTGGATATATTCAGGGATGTTAAGTTTTTTAAAAACTTGTTTTAGCTGATATATCCTTCTTGAAAGGAATCAGTATCTAAAAGGCCAATATGCAAAACAGATTAGCGCAGCTCTGGCTGAGGAAGAAGGTGGTGGTAGAAGAAAGGCTACAGCTCCACCTAGGTGACTGTCCCACAGTGACTTACAGAACTGGGGCCCTGAAGGCCCATCTAGAGTCCACATTCAAGGTTGAACCTGAACACCAGTGGCGCTCACTCAGCTGGGAGTCACTGCCCCCAGGGCCTCCCAATTGCCTCTGGCTGACAGGGGAGCAGGGGAGATGTGGAAGAACTTTGAGGGCTGGGCCTCCCCCACCACCACCACCATCGTGCTTGATGAGTGCCCTGATGCCCACCAAGTCCACGGAGAGCAGACTCCTGGGTCCCAACTGAGGCCTCCATTTTCCTCAAGAGGGATAGGAACAGGAGCTGTGGGGTGCACAAGACCACCCACTCTCCAGAAGTCCTTCCTTACAGAGACCCTAGTAACCAAGGGTTCCTCTGCTGGCCTCATCTACCTTAGAGCCCAGGACTTTCCTGTCATACCTTCTTCAAGGAACCTAAAAGTCAGGAAGGACAAGCAATCCTGACTCTGCTGAACAAGAGACAGAGAAGAGAGAGGAATCCTCTGGGGTCTGGCCAACTGGTGAGAGAGAAAGGGGTTCTGCAAATCACAGACCTGCTACAGCTCTGCTAGCCCTTGGTGACCAGTCCCCCCGGATTCACAGACCAGAACTAGGCCCAGAGAGAAAAGGGTGGATTTGCTTCCTTTCCTCAGCTGCAGGGTGGCAGGGCCTAGACTAGAACCTAATGCTACTGACCTCTGCTTCAGCCTTTTACCCAACATTTTTCTGCAAGAATCAGATCCAGGCACGGCCAAAAACGTCAAAATGAGGCTAAGAGACTTGAAGTTGGGAACCTTGAATGTAAGTCCCCACTCTTGGGCTAACCTCCTGGGGCGACTTGGAGCAGAAGAACCCCTCTCCAGGTCAGTTTCCTCACCTGCTCCATCAGGATGTTGCTTCGGGTCCCGTGGGGTCTATTACCCTCGCAGCATCTGCCCTCCACTTCCAGGAGAAAGAGGCAGTCACCAGGTCACCGCTGCCACCCAGGCACTGGGCACAGCCATTTGCAGGCAGCCTGACAACTGTGCTTCCCCGGCCAGGAGGGGTTCTGCACCGAGAGTCACGCCGGCCACGCTCTGACTACACACCCGGCCTCTCCCCGTGCGCTGACGAGCCCGCCTCACGCGCGCGGCCCACACAGGTCTAGCACATGTGTATGCGCGTCCCCAGGCAGTCACACGGTTAACCGCACTCAAACGCACACACACCCACCCCCGCTCACAGACTCCCACACGCGCCGGCCACCCGCCTCCGCTCGTGCACACGCGAGCTCTAGCACTGGAGCACACACCGTTCCCAGGCACACGGCGCCCCACCGGGACAGGTGCCCACGGAGCCGGGGAGGGCGGCGCCTGGGCGGCGAGACCCGCCCACCGAGGCCAGCCCCGCCCGCCCGCCCCGGGAGGATGTGAGCTCAGCCGTCTCCAGGTTCCGGCAGTCGCCAGGAAGCGCCTGCCAGAGGTCGCGGCCCGCTCTCAGCCACAGGGCTGGTCGGGGAGTCGGTGGCGCACCAGGCCCTTGCCGGCGCAGCACGAAGCAGATGCTCCCGAATGTGTACGGGATGAGGGCGGGCGGCGCGGGGCCCCACCGAGGCGGCTGTGGGGCCGAGGTAGCGCTCCCCTCGTAGACGGCGCGCGGCTCCGGGCCCGCGCACGCCTGGCCCAGCGCGATTCCTGCTGGCCACGTGACCGCGCGCGCACGTGTTCCGGCCTCTCGGCGCCGCGGCTCCTAGCGGCTAGTGGGCAACGCGGAGCGGCGTGAGCAGCGGCCTCCGGCAGGCGGGCGGCGGCCTCCGACATGAACCCCAGGGGCCTCTTCCAGGACTTCAACCCGAGTAAGTTCCTCATCTACGCCTGCCTTCTGGTCTTCTCGGTGTTGCTGCCTCTCCGCCTGGACAGCGTCATCCAGTGGAGCTACTGGGCTGTCTTCGCCCCCATATGGCTGTGGAAGCTCTTGGTCATCGCGGGTGCCTCGGTGGGTGCGGGCGTTTGGGCTCGAAATCCTCGCTACCGCACCGAAGGGGAGGCCAGCGTGGAGTTCAAAGCCATGCTGATCGCCGTGGGTATCCACCTGCTGCTACTCATGTTCGAAGTCCTGGTCTGTGACCGGGTGGAGAGGGGCACCCACTTCTGGCTGCTGGTCTTCATGCCACTCTTCTTCGTTTCCCCGGTGTCTGTGGCCGCTTGCGTCTGGGGCTTTCGACATGACAGGTCGCTGGAGCTGGAGATCCTGTGCTCCGTCAACATCCTGCAGTTCATCTTCATCGCCCTGAGGCTGGACAGGATTATCCACTGGCCGTGGCTCGTGGTGTTCGTGCCACTGTGGATCCTCATGTCCTTCCTTTGCCTGGTTGTCCTCTATTACATCGTCTGGTCCCTCCTGTTTCTGAGGTCCCTGGATGTGGTTGCAGAACAGCGAAGAACACACGTGACCATGGCCATCAGCTGGATAACGATTGTGGTGCCCCTGCTCACTTTTGAGGTTCTACTGGTTCACAGATTGGATGGCCACAATACATTCTCTTATATCTCCATATTTGTTCCCCTTTGGCTGTCATTAGTAACTTTGATGGCCACAACATTTAGACGAAAAGGAGGTAATCATTGGTGGTTTGGCATTCGCAGAGATTTCTGTCAATTTCTGCTTGAAATTTTCCCATTTTTAAGAGAATATGGGAACATTTCCTATGATCTCCATCATGAAGACAGTGAAGATGCTGAAGAAACATCCAGTCCAGAGGCTCCAAAAATTCCCCCAATGTTTGGAAAGAAGGCCAGGGTAGTTATAATGCAGAGCCCTGGGAAATATGTTCCCCCACCTCCCAAGTTAAATATTGATATGCCAGACTAAACTGCCTTCCCTCAGCCCTTCAGTGAGGTGGAAACCACATATGCACACCAACTCCACCTTGCTTTTGCCACTTTATCCATCCCAGACCTGGAACCGCAAACAGGCTCCTAACACCGTTTCACACCTTGAGATCAATACCAATTAGTGACTTGTTGTGCGCTGTAGATAGCAGAGGTTATTTTAGTCTGGTTTTGTGTGTGTGTGTGTGTGTGTGTCTGTGATGTGTATATGTATGAGAGAACTTGCTTTCCAAATTGGTGTTTAAGAGCTAGTCAGGGCAGTAAGTGGAATTGTAGTAGGTCTTCAAAAGGAGTAACTACAGAGCTGTTTGGTTTGTTTTTTTTTTAAAGGTCTACTATACCTATTAAAAGTATTGTTTAAAAAAGTATTTTTATACCCTGCTAGTCTAAAATTGTTTGAGATTTTTCCTGTTGTGACATATTAGCAAATGTACAGACTCTCTTTCCCACCACTGGTTTAGAAGCCTCATAGTTATTTTTAGTGTTCCTGCTGTTAAAATAGTTTTGCTTTGGGCATTGCTTTAGGCATAACTGTCTTTAATAGTCTAACAGATGATTTTTTCTAATGGAGTGAATCTGTGCATATATAATATTTATATGAATATTTTAGTGTAATATGTTGAATTCCAGTTCTCTGCAGTACAGTGTATTATGTTAAAGGTTTTTTTATGTCTCTATGTGAAGATACATGTTTATTGCAGTTGTCCTCAGAGTGCATAAAATGTTAATATGTACCTCTTGTGGGGTCTAATCTATGTACTAGGCAGAGATTAGGCATTGGAAATCCCATGGATCTGAATATTCAGATGTTAGGTGACAGAGGTCTTCACAGTTCTATGGCCTGTCTCAGTACATGTTAGTAGAGAGAGGAGCCACAACCCTTTGGGGGCAAGTGACACACTCCAGCGTGGAACCAGGTGGTAACATCTCTTGAGGAACAACTAAAGTAAGCAACAAGTGGTTTGTACATTTCTAAGGATCTTAGAATATTAGTTTGTCATAAAGTAAAGCATTACTTGTCACTAGAAAGCTGAACAGAGTGACCTTAACCAAATGTAGCCAACAAGGTATCTTATTTTAAGGTCCAAACTTTTGGGTCTGTCAGCAACAGGGAAGCAATAGATTGGGTTACTTTTTCAAGTAAGTATGATGTGTCTTCAGGTGCTGGTGGGATGGATATCAGGGAACCAGAAGGCCAAAAGCCAGATTCTACAAGAGTAATGTTCTGACTGGAACAAATAAATACATTTAGAAGGAGGTTAAAGTATAAAGGAGTACTGATGTTTCTGGGAGAAGACTGTTGGGAATCCACTTGTATTGACAACTTATTAAAAATTACCTAAAGAAGGGCCAGGGATGTAGCTTAGTGGCACCGTGCCTGCCTGGCAAGTGCAGGGCTCTGAGTTTGTTCCCTGGTACTGGAAAAAAAAAAATTTACCTAAAGTGTGTTCCATGCAGTAAATACATGACTACATCCTTTGCCCTGGCCACGAGACAGATCTGTTCCATTTAATAGACCCAAATTCACTATTTTTGCCCCATTTAAAATATGCTAAAGTCAAGCACAGGGACCCGAGTTCAATCCCCGGTACCAAAAAAAAAAAAAAATGCTAAAGTAACATACTTGGTATATGTGCTGGTAACAAATACTAGCAACAACAAAAGCCAACCCGGGGAACTGAGTTCCTGCAGGCCTGAGGATGTCACAGCTTGTAGTAGTTGGTTGGGGCTGAGCTGAGTCTTCCCCGACCCCATACACATACACTGGGTTTGCACAAGGCGCAGAATGTAGGAAGCAGCCCTGAGCAGCAGTGGATGTGCAATTTCATAAACAAGATTCACTCATTCATTGACTTTCTCTGTACATTTATTGAGGACCTGCTCTGAGCCAGGCATGGTGCTAGGGAGTGTGGGTACAGTGGGGGGCAGCTTAGACCTGCCTGTGGTGTGCACAGTGGGAAGTGAGCACACCTCTGTACAGTGAGGAGGTGCTCACAGCAGCCTGTCTGTGGAGAGAACAAGCTGAGAGATGCCTACGGGAAATGCATGGATGGGTGCAGCTGGCCTTCACCCGGAACTTCAGGCCAGCTTTGTTCTCAGGAGTCTAGTGCCCCACCTTCTCCTCTACTCACAAAGTATCTGAAAGCACTGAGAGGATGTAGGGGTGGAGAAATATCTGCTGGAGGAAGTGCAAAGCCAGTTTCGGGGCTACAGGGGCATCACGAGCCCCTCCTGGCTGCAGTGTTAGGGTAGGGGCACACCCCAGCCTGTTTTACCTCTCCTTGATGTTTGGCGTCAGAGAGCAGAGGTCAAAAGTGTGCTAATAATCCTCCTACTCACATAGGCTGCCCCTGTCGGCCCTGTGGCTTGCTTGGAGACTTAGGTAAGAACAGCATGAGTGACAGTTGTGGAACAGTTGTTTGATCTGTGAAGTTGATACAACCCCAGCTGTGCCTGAGGGTTTAGTAATTACCACTCAACAGTGACTCCACAGGGTTTAACATTCATCAATTCTGTCACTAGTTTTTCCTGCAGAATGATGTAACCATCAGCGTTTGCTGCTAAACCTCAAAAAACTCACTGGCCTGCAAGTACCAATTCTCATTGTCTACAGGTTGACTGTAGAGGTCACACCTCAGGCTGGGTCTGATTCAGGTAGGCTCCACGGCACGACTATTCTAGGCGCCTGGCACGACTATTCTGGGTGCCTGGCGAAGGAGCACCATTCCCTGGGCTGTTTCTGTCTGTAATGGCAGAACCACAAGGAGGCCAAGCCAAAGCCTGCAAGCCGAGTCCCTGCCCACATGTAACAGATGTCTGGTCTACTCACATTCAAGCCAGAGCCCATGACCTCTAAGTGAAGCAGTATGTGCTTTAGAAACAATAACACAATCTGCACAAGGTGCTGTTGGGCCACGAATTTAAAGTGTTACAAGGTCATTGTAAAGGAAGCTGAAAGTGTGGCCGACCATAGGTGATTTTCTTCCCTATTTTACAAACGTTCTGGTTTTTATAAGTTGTTGCCACTAGAAGGTATCTGTTGGGGGAGTCTGAAGTGACATGGGAAGCCCCTGAGTTTAGAGACCTCAGTAAATAGTGGTGCAGCCCAGCAGCTCCCTGCAGGACAGTGTTAGGAACGCACTGTAGGCCCTGCTTTGCTCAAGGTTGTGCCAGATAACTGGTAGGTGAAGACTGAAGCCTGGAGACCAGCCAGGTAGGAACACACACAAGGAAGCAGCAGAATGGAAACAGGCCTGAGGGGCCCAGCCCTCCACAGGCTCGGAAAGGAGCTGAGCAGCCACAGGTACCTCACTGGTGAGCCAGGAGGCTGGGGCAAGCTCAGCAGCTACCCAGAGATCCTGGGGAATTGTGCTGCTGGAAGGAACATTTGGTGAGGAGTATAGCTGGTGCCACTGCCACTGGTCCTATGACACTGCCACCAAAAGGGACCACCAATGTCTCCCCTACTGCCACAAGTAATTCCTCAACCATCTGCTATTAGCTCAGGATTAAAGTCCAGGAAGAGGATGTGATCCATCGGCTGAGCCTTGGGTATATATGCATCTTTGCAGCCTCCAGAACCTGAGAAGAGGCCATCTGGCTCTGTTACCTCCAGTGGAGGCAGGAGTCTGCCACAACTCACTCTGTAGAGGATTTGCCCCAAAAGGAAGGTGTTCAGAAGCTGTGGGTAATCAAAGATAGCAAGAAAAGTCCCCTGCAGCCCACACCTCAGCTAAATGGCGGGTGTCCTTCCCAAGCTTACACTTCAAAAGTAAGGCTTCTATCTAATACGCTGTAGCTGTCTCACAGCAAAACAGGGGCTTTTTCTTGCCTAAGGGCAAGAGAGGCAACCTCGGCTGCCTCATCAGTTGTGTTTGGGGTGTCTTCTCCTTTAGCTTTGTCACAGTTCTGTGTGTGGAATAAAGGCAGCTGCCACAACATGCCTTCTAAAGCATAGCCCAAGAACCTGGGGTCTATCAGGTTCTTCCTTGCCCAGATACACACCTAGGGGAGGCTAATGTTCTTCAATCAAGATGCCAGACTGCAAGAGTAAATGCAGAAGCAGACATGAGAACACAGCTGCCTGCTGTGAGGCTAGACCCTCTTTGCTTTGCAAAATGCAACAACAGTGCCTCCCTTCTCATTAATTTTGGCTTTGGAAAATACATTGGTCATCTCTTCTCTTCCTCCTCCTCCTTCCTCTTCTTCCATCTTTTTCTTCTTCCTCCTCCTCCTCCCCCTGTCTCCTCCCTCCCCCCTTCCCTTCTTCACCTTCTCCATTCTCTCCTTCCCTCCCCCCTCCCTCTCCCTCTCTCTTCATTGCTGGGGACTGTATCCAGGTCCTTCATTTTGAACTACATCCCCAGCCCTATTCATTTATGTATTTCTTCATTTGCCCATTCATTCATTCATTGACAGGTATTGCTAAGTTGTCCTGGGTGGTCTTGAACTTTTCAGTCCTTCTTCCTTGGTTTCCTAAGTAGCTGGGATTATAGGTGTGTACCACCACCCCTGGTGGTTCTCATTTTGTAAAAAGTTAATATATAATGATTTATTGTTTTAAAGTAAATAATTTAAAAAGTTATCAGCTTTAATTTCTGCCATGGTAAACATTGGTATAACTCGTAAAAGCTCTTTGGGGTCCTTGATCAGATTCTAAGAGTGTGAGGGGTCAAGATTTGAGGACTGTTGCCCTAAATTATAGTGGCTGGAAGAAAATAGAAATTGGGTGAAATTTAGTATGACACACCAGGGAAGGGAACATATAGGCCACCGTCCTTATTTCCGAAACAGACCACAGGATGGTGTCTCTCTGGTGGTCTCCATTTTCTGTCTTCTACCAGCACCTGGTTGGCTGGGCTGCCGTTGTTCCTGGCACCCTGAGCACTTCACTGGTCTTGGTGGCAGCTTTCACTTGATGTCACCAGGATCCCTGCAGAGAAGTGGAACAGCCTAGAGGTTCCGTGGATGCTGGTCTAAGCCTGGCCCTCCATTTTGTGGAAGCTACACTATTTCTCATTGATACTCCATAAGAAGGAGATATCATTTTGGCTGGAGTAGTTGACCCTGACTACCCAGGGGAAATGGGGAGGACAGTCACTCCTGAAGCCCACAGGCCACTTCTCCCTATTTCCAGGATGTCCTGTTTGCTAAGCAACTCCGACAAGGGCAGGAGAGAAGAAGTAGGTTTTCAAAACTTTTGCCACCCCAGTAGCTCAAAGCTCACTTGCTCCCCTACGAGCCCCTCTGCTTATGCTCTTCCCTGTGTATCACTCCCTACCTCATCCCTGGCTCTGGAGCCCATGTTTCCTGTGTTGTGGCCATGGCTGGGCCCTCAAAGCGCAGGCCAAAAACTCATCCAGGAGCATCAACTACACTGGTTAGTACCTGGACCACAGATTCCATCACATCTCTCATCCCCTGGAGACTACCTTGGGTTCCCTCAGCCCAATCACAGAAGCCCATCCTCTTTCCTCTCTCTGGCCTCTGAAAAATATTTCTGGCCATTCACGGAGGAAGTTCCACCCTTGCCTAGCTACTACTAGCTTGAAAGAACACCTGAGTCTGGGGACCAGGCTGGACTCTGCTCTGGCCCCAGGGTACTTGCTGTGACCCACAGGGCCTCAGAAAATTTCAGCCATATTCTCAAGAGCTGGAGGACCAGTCAGTGCTGAGGCCACCTAGACCCAAATCTGGCCCTTAGTAGGCCAGAATGGGCCAGGGTATCTAGTCTGGGAATGGTCCCTCACAGCCACCATCATTCTAAGATGTCAGGCAGAAGTCATGCATGGAGAGGAGGGTCTTATCTAGGATGTCTCTGTGGCCATTTGAGGACCTTGGCACATGAGAAGGGACATGTCAGAGCAAGCCATTGGGGCTGCCCATTGCTTCCCAATGGGGGCCTGAAGGAGGAAGAGGCCCAGAGAGTAAGGAGATGACAAGCTGGCCTCATGGGGATGAAGCCCAGCCTAAGAAGCCCCACCCCACTGGGTCAACCAACAGACAGCTGTGTGCCCGAACAGTGTGTATGTGTGGTGCTGAAGATGGAACCTGAGGCCCAGTGCATGTTAGGCAAGCATTCTACTGAGCTACCCCAGCCTCTCTGTCTTTTTATCTGGGAGGGAGACTCTGCTCAGAATCCCCAAGACTTTCTCCAGTCCTCTTGGCTTAGATGAGGCACAGACTTAACAGCATATTCTGGAGGCTAGAAGTCTGAAATGAAGGTGTCAGTGCCATGCTTCCTTGGAAGGCTCTGAGGGATCCTTCTGTGCTTCTTTCCTAGCTTTTCACAGCTGCTGGCAGCCTTTGGTGTTTTGTAGCTTGTGGCTGCTTCATTCTAAGCTCTGCCTCCATTGCCAGGTGACCTTTTCCCCATGTGACTACATCTGTACAAATTCCCCTCTCCTTCCTCCACCCTAATCCCTGTGTGAGTTAGGGCCAGGGCCACCCTGCTCACTACAGTGACCAAGGTCCTGCTACTACCAAAACTCCCTCAGGGCAGAGTCTGCTCCCAGAATGCTGAGGAGGACAGTAGTGCCCACCTGACAGAGGATTCCCAGTTGGCCTGGAAGCACCTTTGGTCCCTTTTCACAGAGTTGGTGGAGCGT